TTGCCTCAGCACAGTGGCCTTCCCCCTCTGACCAAGTCAGAACTGTGAGTGACGGCACTACCAAAGTCGCCACTGCACTATCAAGCTTGAAATACGGTGGGAATAAGCGGAAAGCTGATTCGGAGGTCGACGAGACCCACGACATCAAGCAGGCGGACAAGAAGGTCAAGCTGACCCATGAGCCCGCACTTTACATCCAAAACGAAACCATTGCCCGCTTTGTGCATCCACCTCTGACCCCCCAGAAGCGCAAGGCCGTCGATGGTACCGACGACGATGAGTACACGAATAAGAAAATCAAGCAAGCTCACACGCCCGCATCCCCTGCGCAAGATGTTCAAATCTTGCCTCATGTCGTGCCTGCACTTCCCAGCCCAAAGAAGCGCAAAGTCAATAGTGAGCTTGACGACATCTATGACTCTGAACATGTCGAAAAGAAGGCCAAATTCGATACGCCCCCCAATGCCCTACATTCACCGGACCTTACCCCAAAGAAAGATACTCGATCCTGTGAACTCAACATCAAGAAATCCAGCGAGCTCTCAAGTCCTCCGCTCACTGATATCAATGTCGACTCTACACATACTAAGCTATCTAAGAGCGACGATGTCATTGAGCTATCAGCCGTGTCAGAACCCACGCCTGACGAGACCTCTTCTGTGACCAGCCAAGAGTCGCAGAAGCTGGTCGCTGGCTACCCAGTTAGAGATGTCAAGCAGGAATCTTCTCTCTCAGCGGGTATAATCTGCCGTGTTTCTAACCTCGCTTCTGCACTCTTCACTTTTATATCCTCCATATCGGCACCGAGTGCCGAGACAACTTCAGTGACCAACCAAGAGTCACAGAAGCTGGGCACTGCCTCTCCAGTCATAAAAGACAAGCAAAAATCTTCAGTAACCGCCAAAGAGCCACTGGAAACTGCTACATCGTCTTCTCCAAAGCCATTGGCCACCCGATATGCGCCAATTTGTTACCATCCGCTCCATCCAAGGAGTTTGCCTGGTGAGTGGGAGTGGTGCCCACCATGCCTGGTAAAATGGGCAAGGTGTCAAGTCACGTCGAAAATGACCTACGTTCAGGAAGATTACATAAAGGCAGTCGACGACCGCGAATCCCACCGCGCTGTCCAGGCGTATATGCTAGGACGGGGCAAGAAGAAGAACTCGAACTGCCGGATAGCCAGCTGGCGGAGTATGCGAGTGGAACTTATGCAGGATATGGCGCGGATGGAGAACATTCACGAGAAGGAGACCAAGTGGAACGAGGAGCACTCGGAAGTACTCGCCATGGATCAGCCTTGGACGGAGCACACCTGTGCAAAGGGCTTGGAGGAGTATAAATCATGGAAGGAAGCCACAGATTTCGCATGTTTCCAGTCCATTTCGCAGGATCACGCGTACGACGTTGCGTCCAATCTCGAGGACTACCTAAACAATCCCAACAAAGACGGCGATTGGGACGTCTACCCTCCCTGGCGTGACGACTCAAACGAAATAGAAGACAAGATTAAATCGGCGCGTCAAGCCACTATCGGCTTCAAGAAACAACGCGAGTCCCGCCCAGAGATTTACGAGAAAGGCGTCCGCTGGGCAGAGAAGGTATACGTTCGCAACGAAGCGGACGTGGACGTTCTTCGTAAGTCCCCCTTCTTCACTGGACCCGGCCCGCACAAGAGGCCCGCCCAGCTGCGGAGCATCCTGCGCACCACCCCCCACCCAGGAACTCCATCAGAAACCGAGCGCCGCCCAGAAGCCGGCCAAGTTGAGGAGCGGGAATACTGTGGCTCCCCCCGTCGACCTAAGAGGGTATACCGTCCGGCGACGCACGTCGAAGTAGGCTTCAATCGCCTTATCTGCTCCTCGACCGGAATGGAGCGGGTGAACACCAGCTTCTGGGCCTCCTCCTGGACCCCAGGTGTAGCGTACACAGCGAGGGAGGCCTACTTAGAGAGTCTCTGGAGGGAGGAGAAGGAGTGGGACGAGATGGAGAAGGCGGGGGAGTGAAGGGGAACGTGGTTTGAGGCGTTCAACTACAGGGACCATGATGTTTCTTACGGTGACTTTGGGTTAGATAGATACAGCGTCTCACCACCATCTTCATCACTGATGTATTACCTAATGCGAAATGATTATACTATGCTGGCATGCCGTTCAAAACTTTCCTTTTTCGTATTCTATGATTGGGATGGTAAACGCGTGCTCTCCACTCCTAAATCTTGACTTTGTGCGTTGTATTCAATAGAGGGTATGTTGCTGTGTGTATATGTTTGTGTATACGAGTGTACATATGTATAATAGTCGTCGCTATAGTAATCGAATTACCAGTTGGTATCGGCACAGTAGAGGAATCACAAAAACGATATGTTTGTGTATATGTTTGTGCATACATCGAGTTGTTTGGGATACGCCGCTGTATTCTTCATCGGTGGGTCACGTGAAGTTTATATGTTGGGGCACAAACTAATAGTCAAGTAGTTGGTGGTGTTCCTTTACGATCCAATTATAGAGTCAGTAGTCGCATAATGGGGTTTGATCGTTGCAATCAGATCAACAAACTTTTTCAGAACCAGCGATGCACCTGTGCTCATTGGTCTTCTCTTTCGTGACATTTCTTATCCCGCCGGCGTAGCAATATGTTGTGTCCGGATGAGGAGAGCAATAAAGCTGAGCCTTGCTGAAGAGGCAGATCTACGTGACTACGCCGCCGAGCCAAACGAACCGAACGAATACGCCCTGTAACACATAATGGCAGGTTCACAGTTGTGCTTCGGGTTCATGTACAACGTAAAACGGGTATTCAGGATTTTGCCTGTTTCAGATCGGTTTTCTAGTCGTCGATTCTGTCTTAGTTAGTGGCGATGAGGCGCGAAGGGGAAAGTATTGGTTCTAAACCCGAGACCGCGCCGCAACCACTGTGTGCATTTTCAAGCTACGCCCTTTGAGGGCCACGCCTCAGCTATTATTAAATACCACGCAGGGCCTTAAGTTGTCATACGGAAATATTATTTTCCCCGAAGCTTGGATAGTCCTTTGGTCGGAAGTGTGGAGAGCTGCGGAGCAAAGACATAGAATTAGTGATAATAAAAGCTGCGTCTCACATTGGATCATCCCCACGGTCACTCCGCCTTAATCTCTGTCTCAATAATTTTATTCAACGAACACCTTGTAGTATATCAGGATCTTTGATCTCCGGTATGCTGGACTTGAGTGATGGAGGTCGTCGTAAATTCGCGCTGTACGTGACCGGCGCGATTCTCACCACTACCGCGGTGGCCCTTCGAATCTTTTGCAAATCTCGAAGTAAAAACGGGATTCGCTATGACGATTATTGGATTATCGCCGCTCTATTGTCTTATTTGATCGTCTGTGGGGTCATGATATGGGGTAAGAAAAGGTTCTCTCGCTCCGTCACACAATTACTGACAAACACAGGTATGATGGCGGTTGGTGGCGGCTATGAAATGAAAGAAATAATAGTTCTAGCGGATAAAGATTCAATCAAAGCAGAAAAACTCGAGGATTATTTAAAAGTATGCAAGGCGCTCCAAGGACTAAAATCGTCGCTCATTCACTGACTTTGTACAGTCACTACTGTGGAGTCTAGCGGCGGTAATATTTCTCTTGTACGCCATTAAAATCAGCATTTTGCTCTTCTATCGCCATATTTTTTTCGCCACGACCACTTTCCGCGTCGGTTCTATGATCATCATGGTAATAGCGTCTCTCACATTTGCCGCAACACTGGCTCCGATCCCCGTCGCCTGCCAGCCTCTAGACTCATTCTGGAACCGGAAAATACATGGAAAATGCTTCAACTTCAACATCTACATGCTGTCGGTTAGAATCATCGACACCTTGCTAGATTTCGCAATATTACTACTTCCCATTCATATTACTCTCCAACTACGTCTTCCTAAGCACATCCGAATCGGCGTTGCGGGTGTTTTTGGAGTTGGTGTATTTTCTGTTATGACCAATGCTCTATGTGTTTACTACATGTATCAACCTGGCGAGGTGGATGGTGAGTACTCGGTTTCGTAAATTGATGTTTACTGACAAAAAAAGTGAACCTTTCCCTCAGCGAGCAGTGGCTACACATTCATATGATTACGTGCATATGGTGTGCTTGCCTCCCTAGCTATAAATCCCTGTTTGCAACAGCGAGCATTCCCGCTGGCGACTCTTCTCCTCAAACGATGAATATTCATCAGGATATGCCAAGCGGTGACTCGACTGTCGGTATGGATCAGGCAGAGAGCCCGCAAACCGTCACGGATACCATATCGTTATCTTTCAGCAATCATTCTTCGCCCACCAAAGAGCATGGGATTCTTTGCGTATTTTACCGGAGAGAGGATGATATTGAACGGTTTCACGCTTACGCCTAACCCTTCATAGTTTTGGATTAGTCTCCGTAAAAATAGCTGATACTTCATTTAAAATTTATAATGATAATACTATTTGGGTTATGCTTATCGGTGGCGTCTTCATACAGAAAAATTCTGAATATTCGGCAACCTCTACTTCGGAGGGTCATCAACAGAAAAGAAAAGTGAAGGATGCCTGGTTGCAGTTTCAAGTCAAACGTAACATACACTCAGCCAACAATTGAGTCACTGTCTGCCTTAGCAGGATAGGTAAGTGGGTGGCGATGGTAGGGAGTAGAATATCAGGAGCTATGACCCCAAATATGAAAAATGTCGATTAGGAAGCATGAAGTTTGCTTATCTTGCAACCATACAAGTGGAAAGGGACGCGCATACTTGTATTTTTGATTTTGGGTCATCTGCCCATGGTTTAGTGCATTGCTACATTTCCTCAATCCAGAGACCACGAAAAAGGAAAAAGGTTTCACCCCCAAACCCGCCCTTGAAAATTTGAAAAAAAGAGAAAGACAAGAGAAAGAGCACACAGGTATACAACATGGGTTGTAAGCTCGTTCTCGTAGTGGAACATGGTGTGTCGTGCTCAACTATATCCAGCAAAAAGAAAACCAAAAAATGACTCAGCCGAGGTTTGAACTCGGGACCTTCAGTGTGCTAACCGTTGTTAGACTGACGTGATAACCAACTACACCACCGAGCCGTTTTGATTGATGTGGTTTCAGTAATTTATTTCTAATATATAAGATAGTAGTCAAGTGGTGCTGTGAGGTGAAACTGAACGGAACCTGACCGCCAGTGAGCGATTTCGCGGCAAAACCGATCGACTAGATTAGCGACAACAAGCTAAAGCCATAAAAAAGGCCGAAGTAAGCACGCGAAGGACCCCTGTATACGAGTGGGGCTAGATATCCCATCGAGATGCTGCAGTAATGTAGAATGGCCCCTTAACTCTTAGATCAACCACCATTTGCTTGAAATAAACACAAATAATGATCGGTGAGCTACGGCGACCCCAAATCTTTGTATGTATGATCCCTTGTTTTAGACCGCAATTTGATTCGAGGTTTGTACTCCGTTTTCAATAGTTCCATATACTGCGATCTAACGTTCAATACATTGACATCATGGGAGTCTCCATGCTTCACCGACTCATCTAGTTGATCGCTGGTTTTAAGTAAATGCGGGATCTACGATACGATGAGGGTTCGCATGCAAGTAAGCGGAAGAGATCGTATACGTCATGGTAGAACAGGTACATAATCAATATGTGCTTTTCAGAGGTCGGGAGATTGATTGAATGACATATTTGCGAAATTCTTGATTCAGCACACTATCTCCGAGACAACGGAACAAGATGTTACCCAAGGAGCACGAGAGTCAGCGGCCAGCTAAAGCACTCACGTGATGAAATGATCACGTGAGCATTATTCACGGCTGATTTCATAATGCATCAAATTGATGTGAGAAGACTGGAATTTTCAATGCTGGCCATTTGAACATTGAAAATTTGGATCGGAAAATGATCAAATATTCATCTGGAGATGCATATTCTAACCTAAACTGTAAACATTAATTTTACGTGACTACCTAAGTGTGCTGGATTGAGTCCAAGTGCTTTTTAACCATCCAATTTCATAGAGAAAAATCAACCATCGGCACCAATGCCCATTCTTTCTGATCTCTCGTCGCTTCCTAACCGCCTGAACCCTTTCTCCCTACCTCTGCTTCCTCCTCTCCTACCTCTTCCCCTTCCTCTCGCCTCGGAGCCTTGAGCTCCCTTGCCTCTCCCCACTGAGAACTGTATTCTAGTGAGCGGATGCTCTACCCAGTCCAAACCCTTCAAACCAAGCTTTTGCTTCTCTCCCTCGGGAAGTCTCCAAGCCTGATACAGTCCCATCAATTTCCCCTGGTCGATTTCCTCGTTACCTGCCCCATAATCCTTCTTCAAGTCTACCCCGCGCAGTTCTGGTACCCACGCTCTGATGTATTCACCCTTTTTGTCGTAGTCGAGCGCCTGTTTTACTGGGTTGAAAATACGTCCCTGCCGTGGGTCGTTGCCTACGCCAGCCACATACTGCCAGTTGCCCCAATTATTTGCCATATCGTAGTCAGTGAGAAGATACTCGTACCACTCGGCACCTACACGCCAGTCGATACCAAGGTGCGACGACAGGAATGATGCGACGTTTTGCCGAGCACGATTTGATGTGTAACCGGTGAGAATCAATTCTCGATTGGACGCATCGATAAGGCCAATCCCTGTGCGGCCGGCTCTAAACCGTGCAAATGCCTCTTTGGTTCTTTCTGGATTGTCGCCTGCGCCTCCGCTCTGGTCTAGTAGTTTAAAACGTTTGCGGCCCTTCTGACCATCATTTCCATCTCCGCCCCATCTGGAGGAATTCCACGTATTGTGCACTCCGTATAAACGGTACATTCTGCACCCAAACTTGCGCGCATACAATCGCATGTAGTCGCGCCACAGGAGCTCGAACCTGATAGCAGCTGTTCCTTCGTTCTCGCCTTTGCCATAACCACTGGCCCCTCTCCCAGGCCCTCTTCCTTCTTCGAAATCCACCATTGCCCAATGGATTTGTCTCGCAGTTTGATGGCCTTGCGCAAGAAACGCGGATAACTTGGTGCTAAAATCCTCACCAAGCATCCCGTTTCTGGTTGCTTTGTAAGAGCTTATCGCGCCTTGAGAGACGAGGTGGTTGAGTCGATTTTGGGCCTCTGTTTCTCCGCCTCCGAAGGGATGTGCGGAGTCTACATTGTCTGGCCATTGCGGTGGATGGTCTGGTCCATTAGTCAACTCATCTTCTAATGGCGAAAGCAATGCTTGTATCAAACTATCCAAGTTGGATGGTATTTGAAATGGGTGTCTTTGAGGAGGTACTTCAGGAGGCAAAGGCGGTAATTGTGTTGGCGCAGGTATCGTTCTGCGTGGTCTTGAACGTAACGGTTCAACAGATTTTCGAAAGGTGGTATAGACGTTGGGAAGATCCGAGATGTCGTGAAACGGTAAATCTTGGCTGGGACATACATTAGTCTCTGCAGGAATAGTGTAATGTTAAGGGAAGAACAAACTCGTCAATGTAATATTTCTCGTCATCCCATAACCTAAAATCAATATTGTTGCGCTCAGCAATCCGCTTCACTCTTGCTTCTGTTGTTCTTTCTTCTGTACCCTCGTGAGATGTCATCCAGATGCCCACAACGTCTGCTCCGCAACTGCTAGCATCTTCCTCTCCACCCGCATACCAGCCGAGGATATCTTCCACGGCTTCCTCGATTAACCCCACTCTGATCTCCAAACCTGATCCGCATTGGAGATTCTCAAGTCGTTGTTTAAGGTCCCAAACTCCTTGAGCCATAAACCTCGCACGGTGTGGTCCGGTTCGCCAAAGACCAGCTATTTGACTGCGCGACTGTGGGTATGGGCTTCGATCCGCAGGATTCGCTATGAAACCCGAAACTTCAACTTGGTTTGCGGGAAAGATATAAACGGGGAGCAAATGCGTAAAATAAGGTATATGCTCGTGCGATAAAGGCGAGTCGTTACGCGGCTTAGAATCTGTATCCCTTTGCTGTTTTACCTTTCGATCCGGGTCCAAAGAAGATTGGGTGGACACTGCGTGAAATATTGGGTTATCGGCGAGGCGAACATCCTGACGCAAGATGTAGAGGAGAACGCGCGGTCTGGGGCGTGGTGTTGCATCCCGTTCAACCGCCATCCTTGGCAAATGCGTGCTGGAATGACAGTTGCGAGAAAAACAGTAAGAACAAAGGAACTGGTTGGAGAGAGGCCACGTGAGGCAACGACGCAACATCAAAAAGGTGAGTACGGTTTGATGCTGGTGGAGAAGATTAACGTGCTCAGCAATAGGTTAGGAAGTATCTTCGGATGTAAGGAATTGGGTCAATGCAAGAGAGACGTCATGATAGAGCAGCGACTTCTGGCACGCCCCGCCGTTGTTTGAGGAGACCTGCACTATTAAAGAGATACAATATCGGGTCATCTGTCAATATTTGTGGCGGTCTGCCAACCACAAATATTGTCAAATGCAGACATGGTGGAGATCCGTTCCCTGGCTTGCACATTACAGTGAGATGCGGCAGGGAACATGACTAGGGGACTGGCGCGCAGAGATCTCAGCCCGTAAATTCCATTGGATAGTGGCGCAAAACTACACAGATTGGGAACAGAATCGGTGGTGTTCGATCTGACGATGGTGGTGCTGTCATAGACAAGCCGCCAAAGACACGAGGATCGCGAATACCAAGATAGATCGGCCATGCCTAAAGCGGCTAGTCCAATCTTCAGATTCCTACCGACATTTTGGTTTTGAGATCAAGTTTCTTCCGATCCACAAAACCTCATAAGTAGCGGCCATCGAGATTTTGTTTTACCCCTTGTTCGTATTACATTACATCAATTGATGTTACCTAACGTTGCACAATCCTGAATCGCTTATATACATGTGTATTAACCTAGGTTTATGAACATTGCTGATGCTAATGTTCGTGAAACCCTCCAGCCCACCCCATCTCCAACTCAATAGTAAATACCCGACCGACGCTCAGCAAACGCTGCGATGGACACCGTCGTGCATTGGACGACGAGCTTTGTGTTTATGCTTGGCCTGCAGACCGTGTGAAGAGTGCTCCTTCTAGAAAAAGCGCAAAAGAGTCAGCAAAGATCAAGTCATGGATGGAAACAGAGAAAGAGACAAAGCACCCGTACCTCGACGCTGCTGCTAACGGGTTGGTAAGCCGCTAGATCTGATTCGTTGCTCTTTAGCACGGTCTCGGTGACACTGATTATATCTGTGACAAGCCTATCGATCATATCGAGTGACAGGGTCTCGCGAACCACGACCCTGAGAATTTCCGTCTTCTCCTCGTTGGGAGGCAGCGGGTAGTTCGGGATAATGTACTGCTTGGCCCTTAGCAGGTTCGACACAACGACCTGCTGGATATGTGGGTGCTGCTTCTTCACGTCATCGGAAAAGGTAAACGCAACCACAGGGAGGCCAGCGTTATAATACGAACTGTCATCGCCGTCTTCGTATTGCGGTTTTCCCTTTTCAAACGTATGATCACCCTTCTTCCTATGGATATCGGAGACACAGCGGTACCAGCCCGTGTATTCCAGGGCGCGGCTTAAAAGACGGGCATTGCGGAGTGTGTTTTCCATGATGTTGCGATAGCCGCTGAAACCGAGATGGATCAAGTTGTAGTACTGTGCGATGACCTGGGCGCCCGGACGAGAGAAGTTGAGGGTATACGACTCCTCTGTACCGCCTAGATAATGGAGTTCGAAAACGAGGTGCTTGGGAAGCTGAGACTCATCACGCCAGATTATCCAGCCCACACCGGCATATACAAGCTATCTAAGTTAGCATCATCCCACAACTTTCTATATCATTGACTTACTCCAAATTTATGCCCACTTGTGTTGATTGACTTGACACGAGGGAGCTCAAAATTCCATTTTGCGCCGGCTTTTGCCTCAGTGAATGGCGCGATGAATCCACCAGAAGCGGCCTGTTTCTAGTCAGCTTTTTCCCGCACAGGACCCTGTGGTCGGCTCTTTTTGCCTACATCAACATGGATTGGAATATCGACGCCGGTTTTCTTCTCATATTCATCCAGAATATTCGATATCTCCTCAACCGGCTCATAGTGGCCAGTGTAGGTGGA